GCAAAAGTAGGTTTACAATTGTGAGAACACAAAACACAGTTTATTCTTGTATTATTATTTATTGATTATTGTACTATTTTCCATAAGGACAACTGTAGACTTACTTTTGCCTCACCCTGTATTTTTTTTTAACTTTTAAAGTAAATAAATGTTTTGAAAACCACCTGCTTTCAAAACAAACCAATTTAATCACTGTAAGCATTCACTTCCATAGGAGGAACTATTTTCTTAGAACAGTTTCAATGTTCATGAAACACTACTGCTGTGTCCAGATCCAATTAGGAAGACATTTCAAAGTTTAGTCAATGGCCACACACTGTCTCTTTACAAATTCCTCACGTTAGCAGTGACAGGCTTCAAATATGTTTCCGAAGTCAGGAAGATGGACCACCAGGTCACCTTTCAAGGAAGAACTTGCTGCTCAGCTGCAGGGAAGGCGGCCAGCAAAGAGCTTCCCGCTGTCAGCTCCTCAGGCTCTGCTTTACCTGCAGAGAGCCACCTTACCTGGAGCTATGTCCTCCCCTGGCAGCCTGCCTCCAGCCATTGAGCCAAGCAGGCAACACTTTCTCCAGTGCTCCTCACCACATTGGCCAAGGCTATGTCAGGCCTAAATCAATTACACTTCTCCCTTGGCCCAATCCTGCTTTCTTCCCGCTTATACAGTAAACGTCATGCACCCCAAACACTGTCTCAGTGTCCAATTCCAGAGGCCACAATGTGCAACATACGTCTTTTTCATTACATTCTCTCTTGCTCCATTTACCACAAATCTCAGAAAAATGCTTGTGTATATATTTATTTTCTGGAATTATCATGATACTTAAGAACATACTTTTCAGGTTCTAGATTTTAATCAAAGAAAGGACTATAACTAGATTTTCCCTGCATTATCCTACATGGTGCATAGGAGAAACAATTAGTGTTGAGAAGTTTTTTTTTTTCTCCAAGAAGATCAAAATATACCTTGCCTGTAAAATTCTAAATATAAAATAGCATTTGTGCATATATGTATTCATTCAACATTTTTCAATACTGAGCACGTTCTACACACCAGGCACAGGTGAAAAAGGCTGCTACTCTGGAGGAGTTTGCATTCTAGTGGTTCAAATAGACAATAAACAAATCAGAAAATAATACAATGCCAGGGTCTGTGTAGAAAAATAAAGCAGGGTGAGGGGATAGAGAATGACTGCAGAAGCATCTATTGTTTCATAGCCACAGGTGGAGAGGATTGCGGTAATCCACACATCGCTGGGCTGGCACAGTCACATATACACTTAGCACATCAATTTCCTAGAAAGTATACATCATTCCTGTTCTAGTGAAGAATTCATCACACTCAGCTTTACTAAAATAACATTTCTGCATTGTAAGTCCACCTGCTGCATGAAACATAAAATCTTAGCTCTATGTTACTAACCTGTCCAGCAGATCTGTCTCGGAGAAAAAGCAGCCTGAGACATCATAAGCTATGGTCAGACACAGCTGTCTCAGGCAGATGGCTTTATGGGCAACATCATAAGCTTGCCAGATTTTTTAAAATATGAAGGGTTTTCTGCCTCATTAGTACTTCATGGCTGACCATTCACAAACACCTGGTCAAACTTCTTCCTCTTGCGAAAATGCAACCATACATAGTCTTAATTCAAAAGGGTATACATTAGTCTGGCAGGTGTTGCACAGTGGTTGAGTGTCGAACCATGAACCAAGAGTCACCAGTTCGATTCCAGGTCAGAGAACATGCCCAGGTTGCAGGCTCTATCCATAGTAGAGGGCAGGCAGGAGGCAGCCAATTAATGTTTCTATCGCTCTCCCTCTCTCTCTAAGACAAAAAAACACACAACAATGAATCTTTATTACATAATCTTTATCCAAAGGACCTAATACTTTGATAATTTGTAAAGATATGGATAGGGGGAAAACCCTTCCTTATCTAGCTTAATTCAGGTGAAAATTTGAAATCAGGACCACTAGTGACTTTGAGTAGTGGTAGAGGCAAATTAAATTACTGTGCTCCCAATAGTGAAAACCACTTGGTCCACAGGGAATCCCAGGATAGCCTTTACAGGCCTCCAATTACATCATCAATATCCTATCTAATAAAGATAGAATGTATAAATTGACCGTCACTTCACGACAAAGATGGCGGCACCCACAGCCAGTAAGGAGGGAATATGCAAATTGACGGGGCAAAGATGGCAGCGACCAGTCGGGACGCTTGCATCATTGCCACGGTGACAACGCAGGCTTCCGCCCTGCCCTGGCCGCTCCAGGCCTCTGGGCAGCGTGCACTTGCTATGGGGGGGCGGGGGGAGGAGGGTGAAGGGAGCTACAGGAGGGCGGCAGGGCTGGAGTGAAGGTGGAAGGCAGCTCTGGCCCAGAGCAAAGGCAGAAGGCAGCCATCAGAGCAAAGGCCCGGGTCCTGAGTGCCAGAGGGAAGCTGGTGCCGGCAGCCATGGAAAGGAAAGCCTATTCTTGCATGAATCTTCATGCAATGGGCCTCTAGTAAATGAATAATACAAATGACAGTTCCTTTTTGAGAATAACTGTGTTTGCATCTCTACTTTTGTTTTCTTCCTCATATTTTTAAGAGAACTTTGTCATCATTATCTTCAACACGCACAGGAACACCAAGCACCACTGTGTCCTTGCTTAAGGCAGAAATCAAACCATACCTACTCTGTTGAAGTCTTACTATGAGGAAAAGGGAAAAAAAAAACAATAGACTTGAGAGTTTGAAGAAAATGAGTTCAAACTTAGCTTTTGTAATTTATTAGCTTTTTAAAAGATGAATTGTCTTAAGGTTATAAATTTCAGTTTTTGTATCTGTAAAATGGAGATAACAACACCCAATTACCTCACAAGGTCAGTAAAAGTATGTGTTTTGAAGTAATTTGAAAACTATAAAAGTGATCTGCAAATGTATTGTTACAACTAGAGTTTTTTTGTTTAGATTTCAATGTTAACATTATTTTGAGATAATTTTGAATTGAGTAATAAAAATATATTCATTTAGGAATTATTTATTCAGTATCTTCTGTGTTACACTATAGAGAATATAAAAATGATAGCTATCCCTGTTTTCAGAGAGGGGGAAGGGAAGATGTGGTTTTGGTTTTTGGCAACACTTATTCAGCACTTTCTATGTGCCAGACATCGTAATAAATACTTTACACAAAGTATCTCTTTTAATCTTTAAAACCCCTATAAAAAAGGTAATATTTTAATCCTCACTTTATAGATGAGAAAGACAGGCACAGGCAGTTTGGAAACCTGTGCAAGGTCAAACATCTATTAAGTATTAAAAATATTAGAGTCAACTCACCGGCTCAGGCAAGTTAGTTATATTCTTATGCTATGTTACATCTCAAGTTGGCAGAACACACACACACACATCATTAATCATAATTGATACTGACTAACAATACTAAGGCAGTAAATGATAAATGGAAGCGATCATCCTGGGGTGGGGTGGCCAAGGAAGTCATCACAATGAGAACTCCAAACTAGATCTAACCTTGTTTGTAAAGTTCAGCTTTAAAATTACATAAAGGACAAACAAGAATATTATTTTCTGTATGTATTTTTTGAACATGCAATAGGTTTCACCTTATCTATATATATACAAGGCTATGTGACTGTCCGACCAGTAGCTACGACACACAATGACCACCAGGGGGCAGACGCTCAATGCAGGAGCTGCTGAGCTGCCGTGATGTGGCAGCTGTGGTTCTCGGGTGATGCACCCTGGAACCAGAGAGGAGGGAGCTCGATTCCAGGGGGTGCATCACCCGACAACCACCCTCTCACTATCCGGGACCCCTGGGGGGATGTCAGAGAGCTGGTTTCGGCCCAATCCCCACAGGCCAGGCTGAGGAACCCCGCTCACTCCACAGATGCCATTCCAGCCATGGTGCTGCCCCAGGTGTAGCCAAGTACAGCTGGCTGGGGAAGAACGGCAGGAGGTTGGCTCCAGGGCGTGTCTGGCCTGTCTCACCCAGTCCTGCCCTGCCAACCACCTTCTAATTACTAGTAATATCCTTTCAATGTGCACAAATTTGTGCACCGGGGCACTAGTTTAAATATAATATACACATAGGAAAATACAAAAATCCCATATTAACTTGTGAAATATCTCATTCAGTAGGTTCTCTTTTATAGACTGGATTTACTTCCTAATTGAAATAGAGCAAAAACTGACTTATAGCAATGTCTATGTATCTATATACCAATCTTAATATAATCCATTTCATTTCAAAGAATTACCATTTAATTGCCATTTTCCTATTATCAAGCCCATTCAACACTTCAACACTGGTCCATTATTAAGAAAAAGAACTTGAAATCAAATAATATATGTTTCCATAATAAAAAAATGACAGAAGGCAAATAAATTATTTTCAGTGTACAGAGAAGCGCTGTGTTGCTTTTCCATAGTATAGACAGCAGGCTTCTGGCCCTACTTGCACCACTGGATTTTTATACAGTGGGGCCTTGACTTATGAGTTTAATTCGTTCCGAGACCGAGCTCGTTAAGGAGCTCATTAACTCAAATTACTCTGTCAACTCAATGCAAAAAATCGGCGGAGAGACAGCTGGTATCTCAAAAAACTCGTTAGTCGGGACACTAGTAAGTCAAGGCCCCACTGTATTTGCTATTGCATTTTATATAGAGAATAACAATTTTCAGATCTACTTTTCAAATGAAAAGCCGGCTCGAGGGTTATATAAGGCCTGAGAAATCATTTGGTCTGGCCCTGCCAAGTCATAAGTGGTGAGCTAATTAAATGTTTGATCAAATATAGCAGGCTAATTTTTAAGTTGATAATTTTATATGGCCCTCAAATGATGTTATAAATGTCCAAATGACCCTTAGCAGAAAAAAGGTTTTAGACTCCTGCATTAAACAATGGCCAACAATGGTTTCTACTTGTTTCAATTCCCAGCAGAAAAAGTGTACATATTGCTTGTTCGTCCTGTGTATATACCATGCAACTTACCAAGCGATAGGTCTGAGCTTTTAAAACATTGAGGTCAATAAAGTTTTCTTCATTATCTGTCTCTTCTTCCTTAGGAAAACAAAGAGTTTTAAAAGTTAATAATTATAAAGTTACAATTTAAAAATATATTTCCAACTTCCACATACATATTAAACCCTATATATAGACTAATGCAGGAAAAGGTATTTAAAAGCCTAGTAATGTGTGTAAAGTTATTATCAGCTCAACTGTTTTTTGAGGTTTTGATGGTGCCATTTAAAATGGGCAGAAAATAGTGCAGTAAAGGCCTGGGGAGGGAAACATCTGTAATAATTTCAATAATAAAGATAAATTTCTTTTTAAATACATTTTATTGATTTTTTACAGAGAGGAAGGGAGAGGGATAGAGAATTAGAAACATCGATGAGAGAGAAACATCGATCAGCTGCCTCTTGCACACCCCCTACTGGGGATGTGCCCGCAACCAAGGTACATGCCCTTGACCGGAATCGAACCTGGGACCCTTGAGTCCACAGGCCGATGCTCTATCCACTGAGTCAAACCGGTTAGGGCTAAAGATAAATTTTTAAAAAATAAATAAAATAGGCCTTTTTTAAAAGTCATTGAATGAAGAAAAAAAAAAAAAAGGGTGCACATTACCGTAGAACTAGAGATAAATACACATAACAACAGAATAAGAAACAGTCTCATATAGCATATCTGAAAAAGATAGTGGAAAAAGTTAATGGAAATTTTGAGTAACATGACTAAAATAGACAAAAATGACAGGTTGACAGACAAAATATTCTTATCTACTCCAGGGACCAATCACATTAATGAATGTTTTTGATATCTCATATGCCCAAGTTTAATCAGTTAATTAGTTAAGTCACCAGTATTGTACTGCCTGGCCCATGGCCTCTAAATCTATTTAAAGATATTAAATCTATTTAATGATAATGAAATATATATTTATTTAAGATACTAACTTTGTGTCTTAGATATTAACTATCTAAACCAGGGATGGTGAATGTCTGGCCCACGGGCCATAGAAGGCCCAAGAAGTCATTTGATCTGGCCCTGCCAAAGCATTAAGGGTGAGTTAAATGTTTGACCAAATATAGCAGGCTAATTTTTTTAAAATATATTTTATTGATTTTTTTACAGAGAGGAAGGGACAGGGATAGAGATTTAGAAACATCGACCAGCTGCCTCCTGCACACTCCCTACTGGGGACGTGCCCGCAACCAAGGTACATGCCCTTGACCGAAATCGAACCTGGGACCCTTCAGTCCGCAGGCCGACACTCTATCCACTGAGCCAAACCGGTCAGGGCAGCAGGCTAATTTTTAAGTTGATAATTTTGTATGGCCCTTGAATGATGTTATAAATATCCAAATGGCCCTTGGTAGAAAATAGGTTCCCCACCCTGACCTAAAAGGATAGTTCAGGTAGATTCCAAGCTGGTCCTGATCCCTGGGCCAATTGCTATGAAAGGTGAGGTCAGAAGTGGCCATTTGAGAGGTAATCCTTTCCCAAATATAAAGTAAATACAGAATCTGAGCAGGTTCTATAAACATGTATAAGGACAAAACATTAACTCCCTTTTCTCTTCAAATGTCTTTGTAGTAACAAGTGACATACTGGGTGAAACAAATTTAACAAGAATATCCCAAGCTTAAGAATATGGTAATAAAGCCAATGAAGCTTGGTCCTCAAGTCTTATAATGAAAAAAAAAAAGGGTGTTGTTCAGTGGGCACTTCCACATGCAGCTATACAAAAGCAGCATGGAAGATTTCAAAGATAATCCTTATCTGCAAGAATTGAAAAGTATGTAAGACAGTTGTTCTCTAAAGGTAGTTCTGAGACCAGCAGCGTCAGCATGACATGGGAGCTTGTAAGAATGCAAATTCTAAGGCTCCATCCTCGATCTGCTCAGAATCTCTGGGGGCAGGGCCACTAAAGTTAGATGTGAGAACTATGCTAATCTTTAGGGAACTGGAAAGCTTTTAGTAAAATATAAAACAATATGAAGTTTCCATACACTCAAGTGACATTTACTTTTTTAGGGAGGGGGGCAGTGGGGCTTGGAGGTGTAGATAAAACTGATCTGTTTACATCTTAAATCCTAAGCATATATGCAGATGCACACTTTTGAAAAGTAGCTCAGTCTATTCTGTGTTTGCACTGATGGTCTTTTTAACAAGGAGAGTAAATGATTGAAATGCCAATGACTCAGCGCCCATGGAAGAAGAGACCAAGTTTATGTTTTTGCAGTAACCTAATCAGTACAGTTTACATAGGCAATCAATAAATACTTGTTGAATTTTACCGGATTGAGCACTAATAGGTAAAAAACTTTAATAGTAGGTACTAGGGAAAGAAGACTCACGTTACTAAACATTATTAAGGGAGCATTCAAAGGGAATTCGAATATAAACAGAAAACATAGCTTTAAAATAAATTGAGGATTCTAATCTCAGTAATTTAGAAACCACTCACCATTTCCTATCATTTCTTTGCCCAATATGAACCCTCCTAATTCTCTTACTGCCAGTTACTAAGGATATGATTATAAATAGCAGGTGAGAATATTCTACTGTGACCAATACTTACTTTATTTTTTAACAGTTATCAATGTGCCCTATCATGATTTGGACAGGCTAGAACTAAAGGTTTCTAGTTTCTAGATGATTATAGCAGAACTTTATTCTGTCAGAAATTATCTTTACCATCCATCCTTAAGCCACCCCAAGAACTCTGGAGACAAAATGAAGTAATATCTAACCACCCAAAGGCCTTTTTTTTTTTTTTAATTCTCACCTGAGAATATATTTTTCATTAATTGTAGAGAGAGAGGAAGGGAGAAAGAGAAACATTGATTGGTTGCCTCCCATACACACCCCGGCCTGGAATTGAATCCACATCCTGGGTATGTGCCCTGACCGGGAATCAAACCCAAGACCCTTGGGTGCACGGGTCAACTGAACCACATCAGCCAGGGCCCACAGGCTTTTTAGTGATGATGCAGTTCTCCTTAGCCAGAGGATTGGGAGAGGTAAGAAGACCCCTTAAAATAATATGACAGTAAGGAAGGAAAGAAAAATAACTTCAAGAGACATGACTAAGAGAACTAATAGCTTCAGAGGCAACCCTTTGAGGAAAGCCTTGAGTATGGTCTTATGACTGTAGAAGGTCTTTACCTCACAGTTGGGCTGCTTTCTAGTTTGTTTCTCTAATTTACATGCCTAATAATGCTGCTTTGAACTTTGAAGGGTTCTCAGAAAAAAAACCTATCATTTTTGAAAGTTACACAGCAATGTGCTGACAGATGATTTTGTGGTCCAATATTTAATGAACACCTACCATGCACCAGGTACTGCACAATAAATTAGAGATGCAAAAAAAAAAAAAAAAAGAAAAGAAAAAAAGCACAACATTGTTTCTGCCCTCATGGGGTTATTTTTCAGATGAGTACATTTCGTTAGTTTGTTTTAATCCTCACTCGAGGATATATTTTTATCATTATTATTGATTTTTGAGAGATGAAGGGGGACAGCGGAAGAGAGAAACACCAATGTGAGAGAGAAACATCAACATTGATCAGTTTCCTCCTGCATGCATCCCAACCAGGGATCAAATAGAAACCAAAATATGTGCCTTGACCGGGAATCAAACCTGCGACCTCTTGGTATATGGATGATGATCCAACCAACTAAGCCACCTGGCCAGGGCTGATGAGTATGTTTTTATACTTTTTTTCTGAACATTTATAGCAGTTTCAAGTTATACATCTTTAAAGCTAAATGTTGATGCACTAGGACCAGGTATCTGTCAATAAGCTAATAACTAATGAACAGTTATTAAGAAGACAAGATGATGGGGGGTCAGGATGAGCTAGAAGAGCTCAATGGGGGAAAAGGAGGACATATGTAATACTTTCAACAATAAAGATTTAAAAGAAAAGAAAACAAGATGAGAAATATACCTGAGTAAAATAAATGAAGTGAACAACTGGGAATATGTGAACTCTTAAATTTTTCTAAATCTGAATGAAAAGATCTATTACAGAAAGAATAAAGTCTAAACTCATAAAAATGCCTCAAATGATAAGGACTTGGCCTAGCTCCCCAGTTCATCTTAAGCCACCCTTCCCCCACCCCTCATTCAGGAGATCTGGCCACAAGTTTTCTCTTAGTTCCTTGATCAGGATAAATTCCTTCCTGCCTCAGAGCTTTTGTACATGCAGTACCACTAGAGTCTTGACCAGTGCCTGCCACATAAAAGGTGCTCAATAAATACATGTAGAATGAATGAATACATTTTTACATTAACTTTTAAAATAAAGAATTCTTGTGAAAAAAAAATCTTTTAAATTGGTTAGTTTTACAATGGTCTTTTTCCTTCTATAAAACGTTAAATATTCTGAAAATACAAAACAGAGAAAATAAAATTATTACTCATAATCCTGCTACTCATATATAACTAATGTTAACATATTGATATTATTTGTCTTTATTTGCACATTTTTCATAGCTGAGTTTATATATATTATAATATCATGCCCATATATGTAAGATTTCTTTGTGAACAATTTTTTTTCAACTCAATAGTGTTTATTTATTTAGAAAATGTATATTCAACTTGTGAAATAGCCACACAGTGAAGAAGTATTTAATTTCACATGACTTTTAAACCCAGCAATTTGACAATATGTACCTAGTGGTTTTATAGTTGACACTAGAGGCCCAGTGCATGAATTCATGCACGGGTGAGATCCGGCTGGCCCACCCCAATGGGGGCCCATCGGGCCAGGCCAGCAGGGGGAAGGGGCAGCGGGTGGTTGGCCAGCCAGCCCCGCCCCTGACTGAGGTGTTGAGGGCCGGGGGGAGGGGCCTCAGGCGGTTGGTGTTGGAGGCTGATCAGGGGCCGGGCCAGCCAGGGGTGGGGCTGATTGGGCCTGGATCAGGCTGGTTGGCTGCCGAAGTGCACTTCATAGCCACAGGCCATTCTGGTCATTTCACCCGTTCCAGTTGCTGGGCTTTTAGATAGATAGATAGATAGATAGATAGATAGATAGATAGATAGATACAATAATACAGTAGGCCCTCGGGTTACAGCAGATATCCGCTCCTACCGTAACACGATTTTCACCGTAAGTCGGAACCCACCTACATAAGCACCTACATGACTCACATGGAGCACATACACAGCAGTAATGAAGTGAAACAGTAAAAAAAAATTTTAAAAGATAATAATTCCTGACCTTTACTTGTGGTAAATAAATAAATAAATGGGAGATGGTGATGTAACCACAAAACTACGTACGTCAAGTCCGACGTAACCTGAGGACTCTCCGTATACTAGTTTCAGGTGTACAACATAGTGATTCAACATTTACATACCTTAGGAAGAGATCACCATAGTAAGTCTAGGAATCATCTGTCACTATACATAGTCATGATATTATTAACTATACTAGAGACTGATGCACAAAAATTCATGCACTCGGCAGGGGAGGGGTCTCTCAGCCCAGCCTGCACTCTCTCTCAGTCCGGGGGCCCTTGGGGGATGTCCACCTGCCAGCTTAGGCCCGTTCCCCGGGGGATCGGGCCTAAGCTGGCAATCAGACATCCCTCTGGCAGCCCAGGAGCCCTGAGGGGATGTCCAATGACTAAAATTTTAGCCATTAGTCAGACATCCTTAGCACTGACGTGGAGGCTGAAGACAATCCCACCACTGCTGCTGCACTGGCCAGGAATGAGCCAGCTTCTGGCTAAGCGGTGCTCCCCCTGTGGAATCACACTGACCACCAGGGGGCAGCTCCTGCATTGAGTATCTGCCCCCTGGTGGTCAGTGTGCATCATAGTCGTTCCCAGTCATTTCACTGTTAGGGTCAATTTGCATATTACCCTTTTATTATATAGGATTCCCTATGCCAGTGATGGCAAACCTTTTGAGCTCGGCGTGTCAGCATTTTGAAAAACCCTAACTTAACTCTGGTGCCGTGTCACATATAGAAATTTTTTGATATTTGCAACCATAGTAAAACAAAGACTTATATTTTTGATATTTATTTTATATATTTAAATGCCATTTAACAAAGAAAAATCAACCAAAAAAATGAGTTCACGTGTCACCTCTGACACGCGTGTCATAGGTTCACCATCACTGTCTCTAGACTCTTAATAGGTTAAGAGAAAGATAGCATCTGAAAGATTTGGTGTCTAGACTAAATTAAACCTAATGTATTTTGTGAAGAAAATATTTTATACTTTATACTTGGTTCAGAATCTTATCTTATTTAATTTTGTTCTGTCCTTTGGCAATTAACTACTTCTGAAATACAAAATTATTTTTTATATTTATATTCTATTGTTTCCAGCAAAAGATGTCCTTCTTCCCATCATGATTTTAAGCACTGTTTTATGAGAATTTCTAAATTCTAGACTTTAGAACAGGATGATTGAACAGACTCAGGATCATAAATCTATTTTATAAACAATTCTCCATAATTTCTTCTCAATCTATCATTACAAATATGCAGTATTTATCTTCAGCAAATCATCAGATTGTACTAAATTGTGTCAATCTGGTGGCCTATTGCATTTTTAAATTATTTTCTAAATTATCTCAGATTAAAATCTGTATGCTATTGGAGTATTTTGTATATGAAATTAAGATATTACAAGATTTGTATTGAGTTTTAGATAAGGCATTACATTTCAGTTTATCATGAATTGTTTTCACATTTTCCAAGCAGTCTAGTCTGGATCGACTTTATGAGCAGTCATCTTTGTGCTGTATTTGAGGGGCAGCCAAAAGGCTCTCTGGACAAACTGAAACTTCCTTCATCACTGAGTCTCATAAAACAAGTACTGAAATTCCTATCAAGTGAGCCATCTTATCATTAACTCATTATTCCTAGGAAGGCCTGTGAGGATAACATGTAGGGTCATTAACAGAGCCATTTACCATTTGAAGCCAGCAAAGGTATGGCGGCTGGGAAGGAAGTGGGTGAAGGATAGGGTCTCCAGCCCTGTGGTTTGCAGAGGGAGATCCTGTTTAATTGCAGAAACAGAAATAATTTCACAGTTTTGCCTTCTTCGTCATTTTGTATAGAATAGACTCTAAGCTGAGATAGTATAAATAAGAGCAATTGGCTTGAGATATAAAGATTTTATACAATATTTAATGCATATGATTTTGGAAGATATGGTTCTTTGTTTAGTGTAGATATTTAAATGCCATTTAACAAAGAAAAATCAACCAAAAAAATGAATTCGAGTGTCACCTCTGACACGCATGTCATAGGTTCGCCATCACTGCCCTATGCCGTATAATACATCCTTATAACTTATTTTATAACTGGAAGTTTACACTTCTTACAAACAAGTGTTAAAATTTTAGCCTGACCAGTGTGCTCAGAGGTTGAGCTTCAACCGATGAACTAGGAGGTCATTGTTTGATTTCCAGTGGGGCATGCAGGAGGCAGTTGACCAATGATTCTCTCTCATCATTGATGTTTTTCTCTCTCTCTCCCTCTCCCTTCCTCTCTGAAATCCATAAAAATATATATTTAAAAATTTTTTCATGGAGACATTATATTCTACTATTTAGATATAACCTAAGATCTTTAATGTTTATTTCCAGCACTTGATAAAACAATGCAGTGACTAATATCTTTGTATCATAAACTAGCTAAATAAATTACTTTAACCTTAACTATATACTTCTATATATTAACTAGAGGCCCGGTGCATGAATTTGTGCATGGGTGGGGTTCCTCGGCCTCACCGGCGATTGGGGCTGATTGGGGCCGCAGGAGGCTGGCCAGGAGGAAGGGCTGTGGGAGGTTGGCCAGTTGCCCCCATCGGGGTCATCAGGCTGGCTAGCAGGGGGAGGGGAACCATGGGAGGTTGGCCAGCTGGGGGGAGGGGCCACGGGAGGTTGGCCGGCCACGGGAGGTTGGCTGTAGGAGTGCACTGACCACCAGGGGGCAGCTCCTGTGTTGAGCATCTGCCCCCTGGTGTTCAGTGCGCGTCATAGCGACCAGTCGATCAGTCACATAGGCTTTTACATATATATAGATTTTTACAATCACCTGGAAAATTCAACTGGTTTATGAGAATAAAATACACTGGCATTTTAATTTTATATCTTATCTATACTTCCTAAAAACCAGGGTTAATCCAACTCTGATTTTAAGAGCCCTTTGCTTCTATATTTTATTAGTCTAGTCTGTTGTAAAGACTTGATCATTTAGTTTCACACTATGGATAGAATATTGACTGGGAAAAAGCCCAGATTGCTGCCAATAATTTAAATAATGTTGGTATTTACGAGTATTTTTTAAATTTCCTGCATTTAAAATTTTAAAGTTCTAATATTAGTATTTATCCTTATTTTAGAAGCATAATGAAGTTTCTGAGAAATGAATGGTGTTCTTATGAAGAATGTATTAATCTTAAATTCTATTGTTCTGTTTTAAATTGTTTATTATTTATGACCTATTTAAGATCATGAATACTTGTGAAGAGTGTTTGCTCATATAACTAGGGGTCTACTATTTATTTCCTGTCTATAATTTAGGAACCTCTGTTAAAATCCAGATCTCAGTCAGTAGAGAACATGAGCATTAATTTAACCAAAGGTCTAAACAACTGAACATGGTACTGTATAAGCTTCTTGTCTCTCGAAAAATGAAATAAAATATATGTCAGAAAATGGAATCCTGGGAGAATTAAAAGAAGAAAAAAGAATTCAAAGATGAAAATGAACAATAAGTTCAGTAACACTCATACCACAAATTCTTCATCCATTTTATTTAATGTTAATTCTGCATCATCTTCTGGAACAGTTTCTTCTTCTAATTCTTCCACTGGGTATGTTGGTCTAAAATAATAAAGCTACTATGAGTTGAGAATTGAAAACAAACATTCTAGCAGGACAAAAAGGTGTATACAATGTGAATATTAAGGATCTCCTCTACAACAGATTTTGTCCATTTCCACCCCACTTAAAAAATCACTGTTAAATGAATTCATGTATTCTTCCTGAAACTTTCTATGTAAAGATGCAAAATACTTATCTCCAAATTTAAAGAATAAATTTACACAAATAGGCTAATACCATGCATATTGTTACCCAATGTACTTTCTTCATTTACTAATATACCACATTTAAGTACCTATACATACATCTCTCCCTGTCTCTATTATCTGCATGTATTCCACTTAACAGCAGTACCATAATATTAACTTAACTAACAACCTATGGCTGAACATTGGGGTTGTTTCCAGTTTTCTAACTAGACAATATTACAAAGGTCATCATTGTATATTTTTCATTGTCTACATCATCAGAATAAATTGGACACGTAGAATGGCTGGATCAACAACTTTGTACATTTTATTGTTTTGATAAATATTGCCAAAATCTATTGCTATAATGTTGCACTTCCAACAACAGTGACTCCATTTCCATATGTTCACCAATGTGGTAAACAAACTTTAATATTTGCCAATCATTTAAGTGAAAATATCTCATTCTTATTTTAATTGTATTTTTTTACATTGAAGTGGTTGAATACCTTTTAATGTTTTAATTGATTATCTGTGTTTCTTTTTCAGGGAAAGGCCTATTCATGTCCTTTGACCTTTTATATATGAAGAAAATTAATGCATAGCCTAAACTGTATTAAAATTATTTTCCTAGTTTATTATATACTAGAGGCCCTGTTCACAAAAACTCGTGCACTCGGTGGGGGGGGGGGGGAAGTCCCTCAGCCCAGCCTGCACCCTCTCGCAGGCAGGGACCCCTTGGGGGTTTGTCCACCTTCCCGCTTAGGCCCACTCCCTGGGGGATCTGGCCTAAGCTGACAGTCAGACATCCCTCTGGCAGCCTGGGAGCCCTCGAGGGATATCCAACTGCAGCTTAGACCCAAGAGGAGCAGGCCTAAGCCACAGTCAGACATCCTTAGCACTGTGGAGGGGGCGGACGAGGTTCCTACCACCGCCACTGAGCTCGCAGCCATCAGCCCGGCTTGTGGCTGAGCAGAGCTCCCCTGTGGGAGCGCACTGACCACTAAGTGGCAGCTCCTGTGTTGAGCATCTGCTCCCTGGTGGTCAGTGCACATCATAGCGACTGGCCGTTTCCAGTCGTTCCTCAGTTAGGGTCAATTTGCACATTACCCTTTTATTATCCTACTAGAGGCCCAGTGCATGAAATTCGTGCAGGGCGGGGGGGAGGTAGGAGGTAGGGGGATGCCTCAGCCTGGCCTGCACCCTCTCCAATCTGGGACATCCCTCTTGAAATCCGCTGGCCGCTGGCTCCTAACCACTCACTTGTCTGCCTAATCGCCCCTAACTGCCTCTGCCTTGGCCCCCGCCACCGTGGCTTTGTCCGGAAGGACATCTGGAAGAATTCTGGTCTAATTAGCATATTACCCTTTTATTAGTATAGGTATAATAAAGAAGTAATATGAAAATTAACCCTCACACCCTCAAAAGATGGCTGCCTAGCACCAGGCCAGCAGGAGTGTTAGTGAGGGATGACCAAACGACTGAACAAGCAGGCTGCATGGGGCAACCAGGCCAGCAGGGGGGGCAGTAAGAGGCAACCAGGCTGGTGGGAGGGGCAGTTAGGGGTGACCAGGCCAGCAGGGGAGGGGGTACAGTTGGGGGCGACCAGGCTGGCAGGAGGGGCAGTTGGGGGTGATTAGGCTGGCAGGGGGCCAGTGAGGGGCGACTAGGGTGGCAAGGGGGCAGTTGGGGGCGACCTGGCTGGCAGTGGGGGGCAATTAGGGGCAACCAGGCCAGCAGGCAGGTGAGCAATTAGGAGCCAGTGGTCCAGGATTGTAAGAAGGATGTCCGACTGCCGGTTTAGGCCCAATCCTAGGGATCGGGCCTAAACCAGCAGTCGGATATCCCCCAAGGGGTCCCGAATTGGAGAGGGGGCAGGCTGGGCTGAGGGGATTCCCCCGTGCATGAATTTCGTGCACTGGGCCTCTAGTATAGGATAATCATGGCTATTTACAACTGTTACAATTCTTATTACATTGACTTTGCAACCTTTTTGTGCATGGATCCTAGCTTTAAAATCACACATCACATGCCACAACCCTTTGGTCTTTTAGTAGTACCATTTATAGTTTCATTTTTCATATTTACATCTTTGATCGATCTGAAATTTATTTCTGTAGAATAAGAAGAGCTCCACCTTTATTCTTTTTTTTAAAATATAGAGGGAGAGGGAGAGAGAGAAACATCAATGATGAGGGAGAATCACTGATGGGCTGCTTCCCGATCACCCCTAACTGGGGATTGAGCCCACAACCCGGGATGTGCCCTTGACTGGAATTGAACCCGGGACACTTCAGTCCGTAGACCAACACTCTATCCACTGAGCCAAACCAGCTAGAGCTCCAGCTTTATTCTTATTTCCAAAATCTAATCAGTAGTCCTAACATTAAGTATTAGACAATTATTTCTCTATCAAGATTAACAACATGTATTCCCATATTAAAAATACTGGAAACTTATTTTAAAATAAGTTCATACCTGAACAGGTTAACAAAATATAAAAATCAACATTTGATATTAAGAAAGGAAACTACTGAAAACCAAATCAATCTTCTAAAAAAATTAATTTCCTATTTTTTTATAGAAATCTCATAAGCAATATTCTTGTAGGATTTATTTTGGTATATTTAGATACATAAAATAATCATCTATAAATATGTAACTTCTAGATAATTTACATATTACATAGCTGATATATTCTCTACTTCCTATTTTCAATATTTATATATATATATTCCAAATCACAATACACGGCCATGAATAAGATATGTCCAAAAGCAAAGGAAGTACAAAATTAAACTGTGGATGAGAAATCAATAGCTTCTGTTGAATTTAGAATACATTGGGCAATAGATTTAATAATTTTTTTAAATGTTAAATGCAGCAGGACAACTTACAACTTCTTGGATTCTAATAAAGAAGTAATGTGCCCTGGCTAGGTGCTCAGTTGGTTGGAGCATCATCCTGTATACCAAAAGGTTGCAGGTTTGATTTCCGGTCAGGCCATATACCTAGGTTGTAGGTTCGATCCCCAGTTGGGGCACATAAGAGAGGTAACCAATTGACGTTTCTCTTTCATATCAGTGTTTCTCTCTCTCTTTCTCCCTCCCTTCCTCTCTCTCTAAAAATCAATGGAAACATATCCTTGGGTGAGAATACAAAAAAAGTAATGTGGATCATGTAGTCATTCTTTATGTTTTACTATGTGGTAATGTTTGGGCTGAGAATTGAAACAGCCATTTTTTAGTAAATAAATGAATATCAGTAATTTCATATGCTTCAACCAGATGATAAACCAAGTCGAGTAAGTTTTTAAAAGTATCTATTAATGAGAATAGATGATCTACCTGAAAGAATGTAATTGAATACACATTAAACTGTTAACAGGAAACAAAATATACACCTTTCTGCAGAAGTTAATTCTAATAAAAATCACTGTTTGCTCATGTTTTACCTGAATAATGCCTTCCACAATTTCTACCTATGAATAATCTCAATCTTCATCAAAATAAATTTATATTTACTAGTTATAACCATATAAATTGACAGTTTCAGAGTATTTTATTTTTTCATCCATTTATTGAGCATCTATAATATACCAAGCACTATGCTACCAGCCATAGAGTACACATGAATACTATCTGATAACTACAATAATAGATATATAAACAAAACACTCTCAGGTAGAGAAAGAAGCAATGAACAATGTGTAAGAAGAGTATCAGTTGGCTTCTTCAGTATTATTCTTGCCTAGTCACGTTAAGCTAAGGTAAAAAAACCCCATTTAAAGTACTATATTGATTTCCATTTTTTTTCTTAAATCTGCAGCTATCAGTTATCTGTATACATATACCATGTTTGGTTATAGAAATAAATATATGCAAATGACTTCTAAAAAATTTCCTAAATTGTCCTAGCTGGGTGGTTCAGCTGGTTAGAGTGCCATCCCATACACCAGAAGGTTGCAGGTTTGATTCCTGGCCAAAGCACATACCTAGGTTGGGGGTTCGATCCCCAGTCAGGGCTAGTACGGGATGTTTCCCTCTCACATGGATGTTTTTTTTCTCTCTCCCTCCCTCCCTCTCTCTTTCTCTCAAATCAATAAAAAACATATCCTTGGGTGAGGATTAAAAAAAACACCTAAATTGACAAAGATAAACAGTTAACAGTTATACCTTTAATAATTATACTGTATATTTGAACAGGGGAGGGATGCAATAATATCAGAATTGGCTTTGAAGACACCAGATATTCCAATTTTTGTCTATACTGATTTTTCTAATCACCCATGGCATTTTCAGTTTAGAACTGTTTAGAGGAAATACTTCTTACCTGTTCTATTAAATAACTATGTATCCTCACTGGAAAAAGCTATACACATAAAACTATGATTGCCAGGTTGGTTAATATTTACCTTTTCCAGGTGAAACCAATGTATTTTAATGCTTCTTCAGCTAAACAGTCAAGAACATAGCATACATGCTCTCCATAACCTGACTTTAATTTTGAAGGAGGAAAATCTGCAGATCTCCCCTGAAATACAAAAGATAAACAAGATATTACTTGTTATTTATATCCCAAATGTCAAAATATTTTAAGCAAAGTACTGCTGAATAAATTAATCATTTCTCTATTTTACAAATATGATTAAAAATAACTGTAATTACATTGTTTCTTAAAAAATCCATCTCTATAGCCATTCGTGCATAAAACACTAAAGAAAAATGAAGTCTTTTTATTGTCAAAATATCAAGTTAAAAGGCAATAAGATCTCATCACAGCAGAACAAACCATTGATATTGTTAGGGTAAAAACCAGTACAACTACTAGCTTGGTATCATATCATCAAACAACCATATGCAGGACAGAGTGATTCACTTGTCAAAAACACATAACATGTTTGACAAAAATTCTTATTGCCTATCCCCAGAAAAAATTAGAAGTGAAGAGTACCCAAGGAAAGTCAGAAATGGAAAGTACAACGGATATCATGGTCTATTAAATCAAAGTTCTCTTTCAACATAGTGTTTCAGCTTCCTAGTTGTGGTTTTTAAAATCATTTTTAAGGAGAATTAAGTATCCACAAATTTATCTCTGAGACATATCAAGATTAAGAAAAATATTATTACTTTGGGCTATAAAGGGTATACACTGAGCATTTTTAGAAGTGGCATAGACAGATAGTTTTCACAGAGAGTTCATCTAAAAGGCTAGCATTTATGTTGTTGAATTATCAATATTAAAATTCATAACTTGAGAGCATGCAGAAAGAAGAGAGTTGTTTACACTTACAAATGATCGAAGCTCAGATAATATGTTAGATATTGTTGCATTAGGGTCATCATATTCCTGAGGCTGTTCAAAGTGGCGTCCTGCTTTGTTAATCAACCAAGCAGCAAGAGTGCAAAACATGTAGAACTGTTCACCAGGGTTGGTAGGCAGTGCAAAATAGTGTCTGTTCAAAACAAGAGGGGAGGGTGGAATATGAAATGTTGCAAAATCTATAACTAAAGAGTGGAGTCCAAAATTGCCAAAAGACTTTTTTTTTTTTCAAATGGCTTTAAAATCAAAAGACACTCTGAAGTTTCTAGGAATCCACAGTACTCACATTAAAGTTTTTAATCAACAGGATTAGGACAATAACTACTGTCCAAAAAAATATTGGATCAAATACCTTACACTAGAAAATGCAGGGCATGTTATAAAACATAGCATATAGAACGTTTGCCAAAATAATTTATGTCAGGAATAATTAATGAGAGTACTTACTGAAAATGGTAATTTGAAATTAAGAGAATCTCAGAATTTTAAAACAAGACCTTAATGATTATTCACTATGCATTTTTACATTTTTTACACTGTCACTGATAACTTTACTTACTGTTTCTACTCTATCAGCTCCATTCAACAGTTGTTCTCATCTTGGCTGCATATTTGAGTCATCCAAGAAACTCCTCAAACTGTTGCTACCTGACCAAACAGTTCTTTTCTCATGAATTAAATCAGGACTTCTGGGAGGGAAGCCCCAATATTGGTATACTTCAAAACCTTCCTAGATAGATCTAAGATATAGCCAGGATTAAGAACCACTGAATATCACATCCCCAGTCTAAGAAACATTTGTTGACTTTTGCCACATCATCCAGCCAACTAAAAACAGTACTATGAGGATCAGTATGATTTATATCTAAACATGTTAGGAATAAAATTTGCTAGCAAAAATATTCAATTCAGTTTAATTAAAGACCTCATTTTGCTTTTTTATGTGTAGCTGTTACCATTATGTTTCTAATTGTATTGATAGCTATCTTTCATAAGAATCAGAAGTCTACTTCATGTTTCCCAATTTTTTTCCTGCAGGATAAGTATAAATGTTCTGGAAGATAGCAGAAAGTTGTGAAGAAATAAAGGTCATAAAATCTGTGCAGGTCACCCCATGAAGTCCTGGCAGGGACACGTTTACAATCCTTTTTGAAGCACCTACTGGTAACAACTCATCTTTTCCTTATTGACTGATAATTCCAGAAAAGAGGAATGGATTCTGACACATTCTGTAGACCTATGGCAGTGGTTCTTAAACTTCAGCACGCTCAGAATCACTTGGAAGACTTGTCAAAACACAGACTTGTAGGTGCCACCCCTAGAATTTCTGATACAGAAGGGGCCTGTGGGATTGCATTTCTAATAAATTCCCAGGTGATGCTGCTGCTGCTGCCCTGAAGACCACATGTTGAGAATCATTAAACCAAGATATCTCCATGCAAATCCATGATTCAAAGTACCACAGGGCACTCCGGAGGAAATAGCACAGAGGTTATATCAATAAGAACCTTAAGGCCATCTTCTTTTAGTTTAAAAAATATACTAGAGAAAATATGCATTTTTTAGCAGAAAATGTTGATTGTTTGTATTATCCTGATCAATTCATTTACGTAACAACTTCCAATTCTACAATTTCTACCATGGATCAAACAATACTACCTTTCCCTCTAACTTTTCTTCTATTATGGACAGACTTGGCAATATGGACAGTTTACCTAAAGCCTGCACATCTTATCATTCAAGTTATTGAAAGAGAGCAGGGAATGAGATCAAAACTGTTAAGGGAAACTATGTGACCCTACCTATGGCCTTTAAGAGAAAGTATTACAGATTTTTAACCTAAATTGTCTATTATACAATAAACAAATGTACTAATGTGAAGGAAAAGCTATAAAACTTATTTATCTGTCAATCGCTAAGCTACATCGATGGGAGGACAAAGTGCTAGCTGCCCATTATCCTCAGCAACCAAGGGCACTGGCTTCAGGATCTGATGAGCTTTTCCCCACCAGAACGACAGAACTTTAGGTTCTACGACAAAGAGACAATTCCAGCCGTTGCCATTTCATTTGTCTTTCCAGTTCTCAGTTTCTGAGAGTACTGTTATTGCAAAGGCAGCAGTCCTTTCGACCACAACAATTAGTCAACAAGTTCACTAAACTGCATATAAAGTGCTCAGCAAGGTCCTGGGTACCCATGGTTACCGGCTGCAGGGGCAGGTTCTTCCAGAGGAAAACAAAAACGAGAGATAGGTCTTAAAACGATAACGGCCTTCATCTTTGGGAATGAGATTACGGGTGATTTTGGTATTTTTCTTCAAATTTACTTGTGTTTTTCTGAGTTCTCTACAATATATTTTATTACTTTTATAACCATAAAAAAAAAGTTTGTTATTTTGTGGAGGTGCGTTTGTGCTTTAAAGACCAGGCAAGCTGTCTCCCAATCCCTTCTGCTGTTTCAAAACTTTATTCTTTCTACTAAAAAGCAAGTCAAAACTCCGTGAGATGTCAGGAATAATTAATGAGAGTACTTACTGAAAATGGTAATTTGAAATTAAGAGAATCTCAGAATTTTAAAACAAGACCTTAATGATTATTCACTATGCATTTTTACATTTTTTACACTGTCACTGATAACTTTACTTACTGTTTCTACTCTATCAGCTCCATTCAACAGTTGTTCTCATCTTGGCTGCATATTTGAGTCATCCAAGAAACTCCTCAAACTGTTGCTACCTGACCAAACAGTTCTTTTCTCATGAATTAAATCAGGACTTCTGGGAGGGAAGCCCCAATATTGGTATACTTCAAAACCTTCCTAGATAGATCTAAGATATAGCCAGGATTAAGAACCACTGAATATCACATCCCCAGTCTAAGAAACATTTGTTGACTTTTGCCACATCATCCAGCCAACTAAAAACAGTACTATGAGGATCAGTATGATTTATATCTAAACATGTTAGGAATAAAATTTGCTAGCAAAAATATTCAATTCAGTTTAATTAAAGACCTCATTTTGCTTTTTTATGTGTAGCTGTTACCATTATGTTTCTAATTGTATTGATAGCTATCTTTCATAAGAATCAGAAGTCTACTTCATGTTTCCCAATTTTTTTCCTGCAGGATAAGTATAAATGTTCTGGAAGATAGCAGAAAGTTGTGAAGAAATAAAGGTCATAAAATCTGTGCAGGTCACCCCATGAAGTCCTGGCAGGGACACGTTTACAATCCTTTTTGAAGCACCTACTGGTAACAACTCATCTTTTCCTTATTGACTGATAATTCCAGAAAAGAGGAATGGATTCTGACACATTCTGTAGACCTATGGCAGTGGTTCTTAAACTTCAGCACGCTCAGAATCACTTGGAAGACTTGTCAAAACACAGACTTGTAGGTGCCACCCCTAGAATTTCTGATACAGAAGGGGCCTGTGGGATTGCATTTCTAATAAATTCCCAGGTGATGCTGCTGCTGCTGCCCTGAAGACCACATGTTGAGAATCATTAAACCAAGATATCTCCATGCAAATCCATGATTCAAAGTACCACAGGGCACTCCGGAGGAAATAGCACAGAGGTTATATCAATAAGAACCTTAAGGCCATCTTCTTTTAGTTTAAAAAATATACTAGAGAAAATATGCATTTTTTAGCAGAAAATGTTGATTGTTTGTATTATCCTGATCAATTCATTTACGTAACAACTTCCAATTCTACAATTTCTACCATGGATCAAACAATACTACCTTTCCCTCTAACTTTTCTTCTATTATGGACAGACTTGGCAATATGGACAGTTTACCTAAAGCCTGCACATCTTATCATTCAAGTTATTGAAAGAGAGCAGGGAATGAGATCAAAACTGTTAAGGGAAACTATGTGACCCTACCTATGGCCTTTAAGAGAAAGTATTACAGATTTTTAACCTAAATTGTCTATTATACAATAAACAAATGTACTAATGTGAAGGAAAAGCTATAAAACTTATTTATCTGTCAATCGCTAAGCTACATCGATGGGAGGACAAAGTGCTAGCTGCCCATTATCCTCAGCAACCAAGGGCACTGGCTTCAGGATCTGATGAGCTTTTCCCCACCAGAACGACAGAACTTTAGGTTCTACGACAAAGAGACAATTCCAGCCGTTGCCATTTCATTTGTCTTTCCAGTTCTCAGTTTCTGAGAGTACTGTTATTGCAAAGGCAGCAGTCCTTTCGACCACAACAATTAGTCAACAAGTTCACTAAACTGCATATAAAGTGCTCAGCAAGGTCCTGGGTACCCATGGTTACCGGCTGCAGGGGCAGGTTCTTCCAGAGGAAAACAAAAACGAGAGATAGGTCTTAAAACGATAACGGCCTTCATCTTTGGGAATGAGATTACGGGTGATTTTGGTATTTTTCTTCAAATTTACTTGTGTTTTTCTGAGTTCTCTACAATATATTTTATTACTTTTATAACCATAAAAAAAAAGTTTGTTATTTTGTGGAGGTGCGTTTGTGCTTTAAAGACCAGGCAAGCTGTCTCCCAATCCCTTCTGCTGTTTCAAAACTTTATTCTTTCTACTAAAAAGCAAGTCAAAACTCCGTGAGTTCCACGGCGGCCCTCCGTCGGCAAGTTTGGGGTGAAGTGCCCCTTCCAGGATAGGAAGATGGAGGCAAGTGCTTGCTAACCCGCGCTAGGCGCTCCCCAAAAGGCAGGAGGAGAGAGGCACCTTCCCAGGCGGCACCCAGGTGCCAGGGACGAGGGCACCCACCTGGAAGGGGGCTTCAGGTTATTCTTCCGGAGGAGTTCCTCCTCATAGCGGAGCAACTTCAGCTTCTCCACCAGGTCCTCCATCACCACGAACATGTGGTAGGCCGCGCCGGGCCCCCGCTCCACGACCGCCTCCCCAGCCCCTTCGCCATGGGACCGAGACACCGCATCCTCTAAACCCGACGGCGTGACCACTGCCGCGGCGGCCGCCATCGCACCACAGACAGAAGGAGCCCAGCGTGGGCTCCAGCACACAGATTTCCGCGGCCTGCGCTGCCGCCGCAGGGACTGCCGCGACCGGTTACTAGGCGACCGCCAAGCAACCCGTCCCCCGGGAAACTAGACTCCGCCTCCTTCCCGCCCACATCGCTTCCAAATGTTCTCCAACCAGAGCGGGCTTTCTGGATTACGTCACGCAAGGCCCGCCCCTTCCCCAGCCTCGGAGGAGGAAGTGGCTCGGAGGCAGCCCCGCCCCTCGTGGGGGCGTGGCGTCCGGCGACCCAGGTTGTGCCACGCCTCCTCCTGCTGCTGCTGGAAAGCGGAGGAGGGTCGGCTGGCCTTTGTGCTGGGCTTTCCCGCCGGCCCTTGGTTGGCTTGGGGCTGGTTAGACCTGGTGGTTACCAATGGCAGCTGAGCGGGCGTCTGAGTCCAGGGGTAGCAGCTTAAAAGATTAAAGAACAAGGAAGGCTAGCAGTATTGGAGGCTATGCTAGTCCACTGTTTTCTTCTTTATGTTTCTTCTCAACGTTGAAAGTTTTCAGTTGTAAAGATAGTCGATACCCTGATGCTTCCTTTACCACACAGCAACTTTCCAAAGGAGGGTCTTTCTTTTTTCCCCTTAAACTTAGCCTTTCATTAGGGAGTGCTGTGTTTGATTTCACAGTGTATTACAGGACTAGACGTATTACCATCCCCGGCTAGTATTACTCCAGGGCTAAGAAAGGGGTTGTTGGTTGGGAGGCGGTGGTGGAAAAGAATGGCACAGGATAAGCAAAAAAGGAGCCATTCCGAAGGATTTGTTCTACCTCAGAAACAAGAATTATAAACTCACATCCTTCTGCTCCTAACCTGTTTCAAGCCCATTACAAGGCAGTATAACGTTTTGGCGTTCCTTGTTAAAATAGAGGGGATAATCTTGAAAGGAATGTATTTCCCTGCGCTATAGCTCTAAATGTGGCTAAAGACAGTATTATTACTGTACAGTGGGGCCTTGACTTACGAGTTTAATTCGTTCCCAGACCGAGCTCGTTAACTCAAATTACTCTGTCAACTCAATGCAAAAAATCGGGGGAGACAGCTGGTATCTCAAAAAACTCGTTAGTCGGGACACTCGTAAGTCAAGGCCCCACTGTACTTGGCAGCTACTGATCTAGAAAATACAAGATAGGGGACAAATCTCACCACACTTTTACAGTTCTCAAAGAAATCCTGTGTATCAAGAAATTTTCCTAACAGCTACATAAAAAACGAGGTAAGTAGTAGATGCTTGGAGGTTTCCTGGGAGAAGAAAACTTACGGCAAGAAGTTGAGTATGTGTTTGTGTTTATAATGTGGTTTTTGAAGGATCTCTGATCTCCTATATCTGCTACTAGGGAATATAGAAGAGTCACAGTTTTGGATGTAGCCGAAGTTTGAAATTTATCTGTAATATCTCTTGGGTTCTGTTAGAAAAAATGGGCAGATGAGCACTTTTCATTTTAATATCAGTCTAGACCTACCTTGTTTCTGATACTAATAAAGGTATCAAAGTGAAAAATCAGAAAGGCAAATACCTTTCTATTTATGAAAGGAAATATTCCCAGGTGATTCTAATGTGCAGCCAATGTTGAGAACCACTGCACTAGACCTACCTTGTTTCTGATACTAATAAAGGTATCAAAGTGAAAAATCAGAAAGGCAAATACCTTTCTATTTATGAAAGGAAATACATAAAATAACTACTTTGTGTAGAAAACAACCCAAAGGGGAAGGCCATTGAGAATTACTTTTTAAATAAATGACATTGTTTATTTGCCTACTACAAGTCATTAACCAGCTGCTTTTAATAAAGATGAGTGGGAAAATTGGATTTGACTGCACCCCGTTGCCGAATTGGTCTTTTTCTTTGCCTCCTTAAAATGGTGTTTCTTCCCCATACATCCCCACTCCAACCACCGCATTGTGGCACACCTGTTACTTTCAGAGTACAAGATGATGTACAACTTTTTATGATTGAAAAAGATTTTAAGTTGTAAATCATGCTTTAAAATGACTCTCAAAAAGGTGTTGGACTTGACAGGTTAATTGGTTACACACAGGGAGATGCTGCCTACATAAGATGTTCTGACATTTCAGAAATTATATAAAGCACTCAGGATGAAATAGTCAAGCATTGTCTTTTGGCTGAGAGGAATCCTCCAACAACATGTACTTTTTCTTGGGGGGGTGGGGGAAGGGACAACTCTCCCACAACCTAGCCATTCCATTCCCAGGTACACTAGTGATGTAACGTGTCTTGAAAGCAGTATGAAGAACTATTTCCCCCCTTAATTGCTGTAAAGAAGAAGAAAAAGACTAAAATATAAAGTGTCCTCCAGTAGCTGTGGCACAGAAATAATGAAGGAAAAGCCAACTGTTCAGCACTGCATTTCCCACAGAAAGAATACTGAAATGTCATTTCATTTTTATAAGGCCCCAGGAATTACTTTTGCTGAATCTTTGTTCATAAGTCCATAATCGTTAATACTTTAAGAGGTCTTTTCCCTGATGGAAGTAGTTTTCTTCACATGTGTAAGAATGTACACCCAAATTCTCTTCCATCTGTCTCAGCCTCTTGGAAGCTTTAGGGTACATTTTGTTAGTATTTTTGCAGGATGAGCTCATACGTTCACTAAGGACAGTGGTTCTCAACCTTCCTAATACCGCGACCCTTTAATACAGTTCCTCATGTTGTGGTGACCCCCCAACCATAAAATTATTTTCGTTGCTACTTCATAACTAATTTTGCTACTGTTATGAATCATAATGTAAATATCTGATATGCAGGATGTATTTTCATTGTTACAAATTGAACATAATTAAAGCATAGTGATTAATCACAAAAACAATATGTAATTATATATGTGTTTTCCGATGGTCTTAGGTGACCCCTGTGAAAGGGTCGTTCGACCCCCAAAGGGGTCTCGACCCACAGGTTGAGAACCACTGACTAAGGAGATAGATAAGAGCTTGTAGAGAATGGAATGTTGAGACATGTTCACACTTCTTTTCAAGAATCTTGAGAGAGCTTTATCCCTTCATCTGTGTGTTGACCACAATTATAGCCTGGCTTCTGATTTTGATTTTGACCTCTTGCAAGCTGTCTGTGAAATAATTGGAAGTAATTTTTAAGGCCCTTATGATCTTTCTGTGATTGGGCCAATCTCTGAAAACTGAACAGCATCCCAATGAAAGGTGATTTAAGTTAAAGGGCTTTCCCTGATTGATGCTGAGCAAGGCTGAGGAGGAAAAGGAAGCAGGTTCAAAGATGAAGGACAGCTTCCCAGTTGCATCTCCAAATATAAGAACAAGTCCTCCGAGAAGACTGGGCAGGCTTAACGAGCAAAGCTGCTTTTTGTTATAAATGACTTAGTACCATTCAGTCGGTATGTTAAAAACTTAGAAAACCACTAATTGAATAAAACTTCCTTAACCTAATAAAAAGTATTTGCCAAAAATATAGAAAGAAAAAAGGCATATTTAAATGTGAAGCATAGACGCAATGCCTTGTAAAGCCACAAACAAGGCAAAAGCACGCACTCTTTGAAACGGAACTAGACATCAGAGCCAGTACACTGAGACAAAAATTAATAGTAAGTATTGCAGAAAAAACTATCATATGTGATAAGATTAAGTAAAAATCCAAGAGAATCTATAGACAAGTGCTTAAGATACCTCAGCAACTGTGCCATATATGAGATCCAAATTAAAGAAAAGTCACTGGGAAAACAAAAACAAACCAAATATAGCACCCAGTAATAAGTCTATGAGAAATTGTTAAACTTTCCTGAAAGTCATGGAAAAACCTAAATAGGGATACAGTGTTCATGAATGAGAAAAATCAGTTATATTTATCCAATCTATAAACTCAGTACAATTTCAACTAAAATTCCAAGAGGGTTGATACTCAAATTCATACATAAAAGTAAATTTAAAGAAGCATGAGGAAGGAATCATGATATTAATAAGTTTCCTAATAAAAGTGTAATTTAAAATGATATCACAGGTATAAGTAGAAAATAGCCTGGAAATAGGTGAAAGCTTATTTTAAAATTCAGTATACAACAAAGTTGGTGTTATCAATTAGTAGAGAAAGATGAACTACTCAGTAAATGCTGTTGAAGCTATGGGCTATTCATGTGGAAACCAAATTATATCTCTAATGCCAGCACATAAATTCCAGATAGATTAAAGACATAAATGTGAAATACTGGTAGGATGCGTAGATGGAAACAGTAGAGTATCTTAAACCTCAATGTAGGGAAGGATTTCTTGAAGGAAAGAAGGAACAAATTTTAAAAGAGAAACTCATCACAATTTAAGAACTTAGATACAAAAGAGGACTCTATAAATGTTGCAGAAATTACCAGGCGACCGGAAAACACACAAAGGGTACTCGGAAGATTCAGGAAAAACTCTTTATTTGCAGATGCTCTAGTGTGGTGACTCAGGGGAGTCGTTCTCCAAAGCCTGAATGATGAATATGGAGGAAGCTTTCCTTTTATCCCCTTAGTTTCTTTGTCCCCCAGATATGGACCAGGCTTCCAAATTTTTTGTGGGCTTTCCAGTCCCCCATGGGTTGGGATGGGAGAAGTGAGATTACACCCAAAGGCCTGGTTGTGTATACCATGGTTTATGGCCTCTATAAAATGGGACTATTCTGGGAAACAGGTTCTGAAAGGCTGGACAAGCTTTACATATAAGAATGGGGCTTAAATATACTAGCAAGAATGTGCGTCAGAATACTGGTTACTGGCACAGATTCAGATTGCTTGCCCCTCCTCCCCAATTGTCTTATATTCCCCCTCATAAAAAGTGAAGAAAAAAGTCATTTGTGACCCATATAATGTCAGTGGATTAGTCTCCAGGATACACAGGAATTTAGAAGTTTTTCTATGTGAGCATTGCTCAGCCTTAGCACTATTGACATTTTAGTCTGGATAATTTTCTATTGTTAGGGCCTGTTCTGTGCATTGTAGGATGTTTAACAGCATTCCTGGCCTTTACCCACTAGATGCCAGTAGCACCCATCCATAGTTGTAATAAACCAAAATACCTTCAGACATTGCCAACTGGCCCCTAGGGGACATATCACCCCTGGTAGAGAATCACTGCTTTAGATGCCTGAATTGAAATGCAAATGCCTTTATAAAGACCAGGAATGCAAAGGTAAATTAGTGACTGAGGGATAAGAGGGTAGAGGGGGAGGAAGGAATAACTATGGTGAACTAGAAAATCAAT